AGATTTGAATATTATAAGTCTACTTTTCTTTTAAGACAATCATATACCATTTTGTATTAAATTTCTTTTTTCTAAAAGCTGTATATGGCAGTTGCAGTATGAGAGATCATTATAAATTCTCTTCCTAATGCTGAAATGAAAGGAATAGACATATGCATGTAAATATTGCGCTTGAAATGAAAACTCAATTTGCATGCAAATCTAAAATCAAACATCTTCAAAATTACATTCAGGTTACGTTTTTGTTACAGTAATCTTAGAAGCCATGTAATTTTGATTTTTATCATTAAATGTATGCAAACGCATCGAACGTCTCGCAATACGTTTTACCACAGCGAATTCCTGTTGCAGAGGATTTCAACTTTTGAGCAAGATTTTCCTCTGTAAATAAAGGCAAAAACAAATTAATGAAGCTATTTAACATTTATTAAATAATTTACATACTTTTATACACGCAATAAATTCTAAAAGAATATTTAATTAAATTGGACAGCTCCCCTTTTTCTTAAGAATAAAAGTATGAGAGATAAGTTTCAATACATTACAAAATTTTTCAGTGATGTTAATCTTTAAGTAGTTAAGAAATTTTTAATACAATTAAACATTCATTGTAACGAATCGCAAGGATTTGAATATGTTTATCACAGAAATTTAGCATGGCCTTTGAACAGTAAACATCACTTGTCGCAGAGTTTCTTCCCTTATCTCTCTAATCCTGTATTCTATTCATACTTCTAGAATTGGATATTGACCTCCATCCGAATATAATACTTTCTTGGTACTGATCTTAGTCTTTAGTTCTTGGCACTATTCTTACTCCTCTAGCACTTCAGATGGCTTAAACATAAAAAAAGACCTAAAGTCATCTAAAGAACCTATAAAGGCAACTGAGAAACGAGCACTCGAAGGAAAAACCATTCATGTCGATTTTTTTTTTTTTTTTTTTTTTTTTTTTTTTTTTTTTTTTTTTTTGTAAATTGAAGTATTAATGCCATCTAGCGGGCAACAGAAATAGCTTCTACGTTTTGAATCTCTTCAAGAGAAACTCTATTTATGTCCGTAACTGTAGCCGAAGAACGATTTTACGTACTAGGTAAAGACAGTTCCTGATCAAGTGCCAAAAAGGCAAGAAGCATATATGTCCAACTTCCTTTTTGAGGTTTATTCATGTTGGTTCTTGTCTCATGTAACGACTACCTGTTAATTTCGATCATCATTTCTTCAGCAGTGCTCATGAACATGGAAAACGAAGATTCCAATGCAAACTCATTCAATGGTTGAGTTTTTTGCCAAGAATATTAAGAAAATAGGGAGAATCAGGGACGTTATAGAAGTTTTAAAAGCAATCGCAACAAAATTAAGACCTGATTGAAGGTGCAAACACCTTCAACGTTTTATTTGATTTGTGGTAGTGAAAAATGGCGAATTCTGAAAGTTAATGAAGAACTTGGGAATTATAATACCCAAAACCAAGATCTCACCAGACTTATAACGTTTTGACCCTCATGAACCGACGTTCTCGTTTGAGAAATAAGTGATGTTCATACTATGCGTCTTATTCTTATCGAGTACATTGTTTCCAAGACGGGCGATGTAACGTTGCGCATGTTTGTACGAAACATTTGCTTCATTCTATAGCATTACAAAATATCAGGTAAACCGAAAATAAGCGAAACTTAGGCAGTTAATGGAAAAGCGCTGGTATACCACAGAGGAAAACATTCAAACCAAAAACATCTAAATTCTCCAAACACTCTTTCTAAAATAATTCGGTGTACTCCGTATGAGGAGAAGGTTACAGTATTCTTTAAAAGAGAGCTCGAAAATATATCAATCGGAAGCGTTAAACATCAGAAAATTACACGACATGTACAAAACGAACAGTTTAAGGTAGTATAATAAATTCAGGCGTATTTTTAATTCTATGTTTAGCATTGGATTCGCTTATCCAGAAAAACGTCACTTGAAGTCATTGTAAAACATTAAAATCAGAGATTGATATGCTTGCCAAAAGCTCAGAAAAACTTACAGAAAGATAAGAAAAATCAAATCTGATTGCAGATATGAAAAATAAAATAAGGGGAAAAGAACTTTATTTGAGAAAGAACCATTCTGACAACGCAGAAGATTTGTGTTCCTAAAATAAACAGAAGAAAATTAAAAAAAAAAAAAAAAAAAAAAAAAAAAATGGCACCCCCAAAAATTGAGAATTTGTTTCTTTTTTATTTACTATGTGGTGTGCATGTAGAGGGTAATTAAAATTAAAGTTGCAATTTCAAAACGCTCTAACTTTAAAACTACGGAATAACTTGTTATTTTACCAGAACAATCATGAGATAATGGAATTTGTTTTGCAAAAGACAAAAATAGTTCCAAAATTTGTCGATAGATGGCACTTTCAGTGTTCACGTTGCTGTATAAAGCTGAAAAGAAACATAGACTTCAATAATTTTATTAGCGAAAAGAAAAGGAAACGTATTTACAGAGAAAACAGCGATAGTGACAAGAGAAGCTTTACGAAATAAACACCTTATGCATAAGTTGTTCGATATGCTCTCTTCCTTGATCCACCGCTAATTGGAAGTGCAAGTTCCATAACAGATCGGAGGGTATCTGAGATGATGCTATGAATGTGGTGGGTAATGCTTGCCTTCAAGTCGGCAGATTAGTAATCCGCCCATTGTAAACAACGTTTTCCAGATATCCCCAAAGCCAAAAGTCGCACGTGTTTAAGTCGGGGAAGCATGGCGGCCACGCTGTTGGGAAATGACGGCTTATGATTCTATCATTCCCGAAATGAGCGAACAGCAGCAGCTTCACACGAGTAGCAATGTTCGGAAGAGCGCCATCTTGCATGAATATAGTGCGATGCAGACATTGACGTTGCTGAAGACCCGGTTGGACATGGTTACGTAAAAGTGTTTAACACCACTTTCCAGTAACTTCGCAAGTAGCGGGACCCCAAGGTGTGATCTCCTGGAAGAAGAACGGACCAAAGACAAACGCTGCCGTTATTCCGCACCACATAGTGACCTTTTCAGAGTAAAGAGTGAATGGCTGTAGCGGGAACGGATTCTCAGCCGCCCATATCCTGCAATTTTTCGTATTTACAAAACCTTGCAAATGAAAATAAGCTTAGACCACAGAATGTTCCATTATCCATTTCCCTCCGGGCAAGAAATCGTAGTGCAAACTATTCACATGTTTCCAGGCCAGCAGGATTAAATTTATCTATCATTTTTCTCAAGACATATGTGATCATTTATACCTTTTAATGCCCGGAACTTCCTAATAGCTGTTAACGCACAATCCCCATTCTGATAGGAAAGCTTTACGAGAAGAACACGACTCATCTTCGTCAGAGTGAGGATGAAGCACTCTGGCAAAATGTTATGCGTGTCGTTAATGTTCTGCATTCTTATCTTAGCCATGTCTGTAGTGCGCATGTTACGTCTTAGTAATTTGCATACCAACAGCAATGTGAACACTGGCAGCGCCATCTATCGGTATATTTTGAAACTATGTTTTTTCCTTCTCCAAACAAAATTCCATTACCTCATGATTGTTCTAGTAAAATATCAAATCATTCTGACAAGTAGTTTTAAAGTTTCAGGATTTTGAAATCGCAACTTTAATTACAATCACCTTGTATATGTGCATGTATTATGCATATATATATATATGTAATAAAACTGTTCCATTAGATGTAATAAAACTGCGTTATTATTGGACTAAGATGACTTGGTGAGAGTTGCAAGGGATTGTCGGAGAGGACTGCATCACAATTTGAAGACTTTGCTGCGTAGTTAGAAAGATGGACGTATAAAACTTTCAGACATGGCCTAAATTCCACAAATAATTTATTTTTATTTATCTACAATGCACATTATCACTGTGGGTGCGCTATTCACCTCCCAATTTTCTACAAGATACATCTTCTTAAAGAACGAAAATTAGAAAAGTAAAAATAAAGGCAAAGCGAAAGAAGCGTCTGGAAACAAAAGGGGAGACAGAAGAGAAGAAAAGTTGCAACGCAGTTGACCATTTTATACTGAATTTCATATATATATATGTATTGATACCATTTATAATACAAATTTTGTTAAATAAAAGTTGAAAGTTTATTACGAATCTTTTGTGTGATTTTATAGCAATATATTTTTACCATTGGAGTTACATAAATTAAAATTCATTTTTTAAAAATGCTCTCTCAATTGATATAAATGTTTTCCCCCCCTCTAGGTCTTCAACTGTGAAGTATTCTTCCACTCAATCAGTCGAAATCCTGTATCTACTTTTCTAAATTTTCCCATGAGTTTCCAAAACGATTATTATGTTCCTATATTTTGATATAGCTACATGACGCCTGTCTGGAGGCAAAATTTAGTTAGAATACTTTAAACTTTACTTAAGTAAATTTTTAAACTTTACTTAATTAAAGGGCTGTTAATTTCATTTTCGCATTTTTGCGTTGATTCATTTTCTGCGTTGATTCACTTTTCAGACTGTTGCTACCCAATACTACAGCCTTGTATTATATTTAAAGAAAATAAATTATGAAGAATCTACATTTTTGATTAACACACTCAAAGGGAGGAATGTCAACACTGTACGGGGGGCGAATTTATCTTCAGCGTGGGAGACTGTGTATCAGAAATTCTAAAGATATGCTTATTTTAAAACTATTTTGCGATACTGCTGTTGAACTGAATTTTATGGTTTAAGTGCGAAGAACATGATATTTAATAAATAAAGGTAACACACAAAACGTTGAAAAAGACGCTCCTTTGGGCGTAATGTAAAATCTGAAAACTTTCAGATTTTTTAAAAATACATTTTGTGTTTTTATTTTATTAATGTGATAAAATTTTGCATTAAAATTTAAAATAGAGTATAAGCAAGGGATTATCAGATAGTATGGGATGGAGTTTGTGAATCTTAGTCAAACGCATTAAACTAAATGAAAGTATCTGTAGAATTTGACTATGCTTCATAAATATTTATTTAATTTTACTTTACAGATAACTGAATACAAAGGACCCGATTGCAAAAGAATATAAGAGGCAGATAGGAGTCGAAAAACAGTAAGATCGAAGCAACTGAATGTAAGCAACTCGAATGAGAAATGATCAGAGATCCTCCTTTTACGGCGCATGTTATTGAACATCTCATTATCTTGGTCCTGACGTCAATTCCTACCTTCAGTAAGTATACAGCAATTTTCATAGCTTCTAAAAGAAACATATTTCCAACTACCTTGTTTTCAATAATCGTGGTGGTTCTGAGAAAAAATTATGAATTATGCTCCATAAGGGCTGCACTTTGAGCGTTAATGTTATTTTAATAATATGCTTTCCAAACTGTAAGCAATTTTAGCGTCTCTAAATATATAGCATTTTCCGAATGAACTGTTATTGTGAATCCTTTCTGTTTTCTTTCCGGTTACTTTGTCTCAAATATTTGATGTTCATTACATACTCTTAGCTTTTTATCTTTAGTTTCACTTAACTGTGTGTTTCATATCACCCACCATTTATTGTGCCTTTTAGAAACATACTATTTTTAGGAAAAACTTTTAATACAATTTTCATAATTTCTTTTTCTTTATCGCCTTAGATTTGCTGAATCGAATCATGTATTTTAAAGAGGGCTTATGCTTTTTTAATGGTTATATTCTTTTTCTTAAATAATTGTTTAATTTTTTTTTATCTTTCACATCGAACATTATACGAACACGTCTTGAAAGAAAAGACTTCCTTTTTATAACTCAAATTTATCTCTGTTACAGAACATGTCTGTTATAGATGTTCTTTTAAGGACTACACTCTTCTTTTAATATTCTATTGTAGGGTCTTACGTTATTTTTCTAACATTTGAATTTTAGTTGGAAACAGCTTCCTTTTATTCCTTATTTTCCTGCCTACGCTTTACTGCCAAAATGGGTTTTTAGTTTTATGCTTTATGCGAAATAGTGTCCAAACTACTTTTTAAGCTGATATCTGAGTTACTTCAGTTAGAACGTGTTCTGCCTCTTCGCCACGTTGCTGTTAAGAGTTAAAGCTTGCTAATTTTGACCGTGCTTAGTACATGCCTGATAGTCTACGCCGGTGATTTTAGCTAGGAGCCAACTACGCGATTAGTCATTTAATGTTTCTAACTTCGTCTATGCTTAACTTAGTAGAAACCTTGTGTAACTATGTAGTGACTTATCGCGGACCCAAGTGTGTAAATGATAAGTCTAGAGAGAAGGGTTAAACTCACCTTTTATTGCTTCAAACTAAGCACACAGATGACCCCTTTTTGGGGCCGACAAAAGGCCTCCACTTGGGCTTTAACTCAAGATAAGAAACTAATCTAAAGCTAAAATCGAAGTTGGCCTTTAATTTCATTAAACGCAGAATATCAGCAAGCACGTACAATACAACCCAGCATAGTTAGCTTTAAACAAAGAAGCAGCCTGACGGCGAACACGCCTCACAAAGGACTCATAAGCTGTTCTGCTGAAGTCATCGAAACCTTCCTTTAAATACTCTTTCTATCTCATTTACATACAACGCGATACTATAAACTATTTCTGGTAGAGACTAGTAGGTGGGAAACGAGAATAGACAGTAAAACAAGCTTAAAATTTTAAATAATTGTTAGAAACTTAAAATAACCTCTACAATCAACTCTGTGAAGATTAGGCTGATTATTGTACTCAGCTTTAGTTTGATTTTACGTTTTATATTTAAGCTCAAGACATAAATGCTGGCTTCCTGCATGAAGGGTCATCTGTGAATATATTTGAGTTAAAACAAAATGGTATATTGACTTTTCTTCGGAGTTGTTACTTAAACTACAAGAACTTATCGAATGATCCCTACACAGTTCTGCGTTAAGGGTAAAGAACGTCATATTCAAAAAATAAATTAAACGGACAAACGCTAATAAAAAAACGACAAAAAAAACATTGATATGACGAACTGAAGGGAAAAAAACTGGAAAAAAAAAAAAAAAAAAGAAAAAGAACAGAAAAATGTGTGCCAACATTTAACGCAGCATCGGTAATTCTAAACGTATTCAGCTATGCTGTTTTTAAACTTTTGCTGTTGAATTTTATATAGTGTATGTGCAAAGAAAGTAAAGCTTGATAATGAACATAAAAAGACAAAAAACAATGGGTTAGTATGGGTGAGGGTAACAGTAGACTGGTAGACTGCGATCTCAGCGAGAGAGTTAAATGCCTTAGCAAACCTTTTTGGGCGGCCGCTAAAATCTGAAAAACTTGAATTTCTTTATAGTATTATTCTTTCTAACTGTATTACTATTTGAACTGGAACTGGATTGAGGACTGAAGATCTTGAAGATTTATGTCCTTTTTTAGACCATTCGGTACATTTTAGTATTTGATGTTTAAGAGAAAGAATTACTTCAGAAATATTTAGCTGAAGAATTCAATAGGTTTTGAAGTAGAATAATGTGTAATTGAAATTTGAAGCGAAAGTTCTGTAATTATTCAACTTAATAATTTTTTTGATGAAACTGTCTGATAACATTTTAGATTGTAAGATAACACAAGAAAATTACATTTATTACAGGAAACATAAAACATCCTTTTATTCCAGGTAGAAATAATTGTATTTAATCTGGATGATTTTTTCATGATTATTCGTATCAAATAATATTCGATCTCATATAAATACTTTCTTAAAAACACACCCCGTATATCTTCTCACGCTCAGTTTCATTTCACAAACACACATGAAAACAATTATTTAACCGTGACAGCAAATGATGATGAATAAAATATTATTCAGTTTTTATCCCTTAATTAATTGAAATCGTTTGCAACCTTCCAACGAATTATTTGTAACGATTAGACTCATTAATAGGTTATATTAACGGGCATTATTTATTATTTACCATGAATTCATTTTAGCCCAATGGGCTTTAGGATAGAATGGCTATTAATTTTGTTTTGGCATTTTGCTTCGAAACCTTAATGTTTGCTTTTCACTTTTCAAATTGTTGCCACCAAATATTATCGGCCTGTGGTATATTAAAAAATAAATAATGAACGATCTGCATAAGTGTATGTATGTTTATTGCAAAGTGATAAAATAACGGTACCTAGAGTCTTCAAATTTTGAATAACGTAATCCTCCACAGAATTTGGCATCTGGAAGCTCTAATTTGGAATTTGGAATTTGTTTTATTATCGATTTCATATTTTGTAACGGTTTAACGAATTTCGGATTAACACATTCAACGATTTCAAAGAGACCAATGCCAACACTGTACTAAGAAAAAAAAAAACATTTTAATCTCTAGCACCCGAGACTGTGTGTCGGAAATTCTAAAGATATGCTCTTTTTAAATTATTTTTGGGATACTGCTGTTAAATTGAATTTTATGGTTTAAGTGCGAAGAACATGATATTTAATAAATAATGGTAACACACAAAAAGTTAAAAAATGCCCATTTGAAAGTAATGTAAAATCTGAAAGCTTTCAGACTTTTTTAAATTATCTCATTGTAAAGCAAAACAAGACAAATTGAATGATCAGCTTTGAATGTATGTTCGTTTAGGAATGTAATAAATAAGAACGACTATAGAACTACTAGCAATAAATAGAAACCACTATAAAACTAGTAGTAATAAATAGGAGCGATTATGAAAGTAGTGGCATAGGTTATGTTTTAATCACCACAGGTAAAAATTATGTTTAATTTTATACATCTTCATCTTGCTATTTCCCTGCTAAATGAAACATAACAGAAAGCAAACTGAGAGCAAAAGCTGTTATTCTTCCGATCCCATCGGTTCACTAATCTGGTTTTCTCCTATCATCTACCTTCATTAGGTGAATCGTAAACATCTGTGTTCAGATTTTTTTGCGGCCACACTGTGAGAATACTGATGAAGAAAAAGGCTTTATTTTCACTCTGCTACCATTTTTTTAAAAAAGGACGAGGCGCAACTGAAAATGAGGTGGATAAAGTCAAAATTGTGCTACTTTTCTAGATATTAAAGATAAAAAACTTGTTGTTTTTTACTCTTAAAGAAAAAAAGTGCTTTGCTTGACAGCATTCCGCTAATAAACTGTTAAAACAAACTGCATGGCCTGTTTTCTGGCTTAAAATACAAAACAGTGCAATTTAAAAACAATGATCAGTTTCCTTTACATTTTTAAAGCTAAGCATTGGATAAAACGCATAACATTTCAAGACTTAGGAATTTTGAATAAGTTAAATTAAATAAAGTACAATATAATAATGGTAGAGACAGGACAGGAACAAGTGCAGTGGCACCATACCATCGCTATGAGCAAAAATGGTATTGCCCCGGTGTACTACCTTTCCGTATTTTTATTGAGAATTAAACAAGGTAACATGCAATCATACAGATGTTATACATTTGGATATTCAGAGCTGCATATTGTTACGTTTGGTGATGGTAATGTTCATAGGTAGGCGAGGTACAGTAAAATTCGTAATAATAAATAGATACACTATCATGGTATGTAGGTAAGGCACAGATATGAATAAAGACTGAAAGCACGTTAGAAGTGCGTGTTTGGTGGAGATAACAATGACACTCTGAAATTATTGCAGAATGAGAGGTTTGAAGATTAAGGGTGGGCCATATATTGAGTCCTTGTCTGTGGAGGTAGTCGATGATGTACTTTATCTGACTGAATGTTTTTCGGTGCTTGATTATAAATCGCCTGAATTCTAGACCTGGGTTGCCTGGATGATGGATATGGTGAACAAACGTTATGAGACAGTTGAAGATGTAGTGCTCTGGGTCCCCGTTGTTTCCGCAAATACATCTGTCAGAGGTTGCTTTGTATCTGTTGTAGAAGTAGAGTGGAAATGGGCCGTGGCCTGAGATGTACTGAGAAAGGAAGTAGGATGAAAAAGTGACGTTTTCATCTATTTTTAGGGATGAATTCATATGTTCGTCTTCCTTGTTGTCCGTGAGAGATTGGAGTGCCTATTTGGTGGATAGCTGCGTCTTTTGCTAAGGGGTCAGCGAATTCATTTCCTGTACAAGCGCCGTGACCTCTAGTCCATGATATTATAAATTTGTTGTTGAGTATTAAATCCTGTACGGCAGAGTCAGCATTTATAATGTATTTCGGCTCATTAATTATGTAAAAGATGTCCAGCATCAGTGTGCTCCAGAAGAAGCAGTATTCCTTCCCTGGTGAGCTGCCAT